CCAGGGGGCGAAGCCCCCGGTGGGGGGGGGGTGGGGGGGGGGCGAAGCCCCCCCTACTGAAGAAAAAAGATCACATTTATTTAAAAAAATAATTATAAAAAAGTGTGATTTAAAAATTATGCGGAACTTCTGAAGAAAAAATTAGTTATATTCATTAAATATGTAGTTCAAAAAACTCGTAAAGTATTTTTAATTGAAAAAAAATAATTATAATAATTACAAAATACAATTTTTAAAAATCATTAAGAATTCGCAAAAAATGAAAGTTATAATTATAAAAAAATATGATACAAAACGTAATTGAAAAATCGGAGAATATTTTATTTCCATTTTCTTCAAATGTCACATCACCAATAAACTCCTCCTCATCAGTAAATAAATTCTCCTCACTGCCTAACTCTTCATCACTATGAGGAATTATACGATTTTGGCTCATTTTATCTGCTTCGAAAATCACCTTTTCTTTTTTCAGTCATTTTGTATATCCACTATTCGGAGGTTAGATTTCCTTCCTTGTTATTCTCTTTTAATAGGTGATGCGCATGCGCGTCATGCGTTATTTCGGATTTCAGTTGACTATAGTCAACTGGAAAGTAGTGGGTTTCAAGCGCCTACCCACACTCAACTGTTAGAACAGTGGGTTTCAGTTGAGTGTGTGTAGACGCTTGAAACCCGCTACTTTCCAGTGGACTATAGTCAACTGAAACCCATGCGGTTACACGCACGTATCATATAAAAGAGTTTTCGATAAGACATGTAATGGTTAATCTTCTGATATGATCCCTGGTGGATAGATTATTTCGGAATTTGAATATTCGATCGATGATTAATTTGGTAACTGAAAATTGTTGGCTAATATTATCAGTTATTTTAACTTATTTTGAAATTGATGATTGTTCCGACCCCTGGCAAGGAGTTGCAGACTGTGGGAATTTTGAGGATAACTTTCGAGACTTCCAGAAGTGTTTGCGACTTACATTCCAGCTCAATGTAATGCTGGACTGTCTTTACTTGCCTTCACCCATCCAGGAACTTTATAATAGAACTTTATCACAAAATTTTCGACGGTGACAAACATCGACGAATACGTAGAAGGAATATTGTAGAAATTTTCGGGATTGGTTCCTATCTTCCAATCATTACAGAACATTGTTTCAAAGGGACTCGATGGAAAAAAATATGCCTCGCAAATTTGAAGTACCCAAATTTGTCTATTTTTACATAATCCTCATAGTTATATGCATCGGTACAAACTATTTTATCACATTCAATTTGTTTTGACGTCTCTGACGACCTTCAATTTGAAAAAAAATAAACTTTTACTATTTTCGTAGTTTTTCTTCATATTTTAATCAATTCCTGATTCCATTTGCAGTTACCTGGAATACATAAGGATTATTTGGCTGTTATATTCATTCACTGACGAAACAAAATTCATAGAAGCCGAGGTAGAAATTTTTTATGTGAATTTTTTAATTGGAGGTCTATATACGAATTGGAAATCTTACACTTTTTCTGCGCGTTTTCTCAACAGAAAATATCAAACGTACACTCTAAAATTTGTATGGAGAAAACCAACAGATTTTAGTCTATCTATATAAGTTATTCTGTTGAGACTGTTTCTGTAGAAATCACTTGGATTAAATTTTCCAAATTTCACATTTAATGTTTTTTTTTGTTTTCATTTTTTACTGAAAGAAATAGGAAAATCCATCGAACAAAACTGAAAATTGATATCGCGGAATGCCTATAAAAAATATTGCAATAGAATAAACTCTATCGAAAATTCAAAATTATTGCCTTTATCAATAAACTTTCTGTTCAAAAAAGTATCCAGAAAAGCTGAGAAATTTGTCAATAGAATGGGCGAAAATCTAATGCAATTTTCAACAGGAATGCGATAGAAAACTATTGAATGCGGTAGGCTTTTCTCTGACATTTCCTTGGTGCATGACAGATTATAGAAAATAGTTTACCTGAAAAGTTTTTGAGGTTTGTGACAAAATGGGGGACTTCAGAATTTTCGCTGCGAATGTCGTATCATTGAGACGAGCCAACATCAGTCTCCTCTGGCATCTATGAGCCACCGCCTGTCCACCACCACTAGCAAACCCGATGTTCCCCTTTGAATCCACTTGAGTGGTCAATTCATTAACAATTACTACCTGAAAACCAATGCAGGAAAATTCGTCGGAAATTCATCTAATGCTGATAAAATTTGAAGCCCCAGTCAAAAAATTTGATCATTTTTGGTCTGATTTTTCCAAGGATGATCGGTTGAAGATCTGAAAATTGCATACAACGGCTAAAAACCGAGCACTGAATAAATTTTGGTCTAAAAGTTGCATGCCGAGGTCAAAAATCGACCTGAGAACCAATCCAAAAATCGATCAAGTCACTGAATGGACCTAAGACCAAATTTTTCGACTCAGAAAGAATTATTGTTATTACCGCGATGTTATACTCCGAAGCTACTTTCTGCAGTTCGTCGAAAATTTTGAAGTAGAACTTATACCTCAAAACAGTATCTTCTATCGTGCATAATACAGGAAGAGACAGACTGTCAATTATAATGACTCGATGACGATTGTTGTCCTCTAAATATTCCCGCATGTTTCCAATTGTCGAATATAACTCTTGTGCTGTGCGTATGGAAACTATCGTAACGCCTTCTAGAAAATCTTTCAGTTTACCATTTAAGTCGGGAAAATCGTGTTGGCATCCTTCAATCAATTCTAAAAAAAAAATAATTGGAAACGAAACAGTGGGAAATAGCATATTTCGATATATTTCGATCCACTGAAGACGGGACTTTATATAGCATTCCACATCGTATGACGTCACAGAATATTGCTGGATAGGATTTGGGGTAGATAGGAGAAGAACCAGGATCATTCTCGAATTTAGTTTACAATAGAAAAATCTATTGAAAGTGCGCGAACGCGCATTTTTAATCCGATTGGTTTTTTAACCCTATGAGAGACACCCCGCCACGCGTCGTTTTTCTTTAATTGCAATTGACTGGCTAACCGGAAAAATTCAAAAAAATTTGACTTAGTCAATTGAAGTGTTTAAAAAATTATAGTAGTTTTTAGAACAACATATTTCCCACAATTCCTAAAAAAAAGCAAATTATTTTGGACATATGAATTTTTTTTTTCCATGCTAAATGAAATTGACGCGACATTGTCAGAAACTCGCTAAACGCGCCCGGGCAGTGTAGAGTGAATTCGGGCAACGCTAAAATCTAACCCAAGTAGCAAACCTTGCGAAAGATATCTGAAAGTATACCAAAAAGGCAAACTAATGTCCGTCCAAAAGGTATCTTGCAGTCATACGATAACTTTTAGTTAACTTCTAGGTAACTTCTAGACACAAGTTACCTTTTCGGACAGACATTAGACAGCCTTTTTGGTATACTTGCAGATACCCTCCAGAACTGTGCTCCTTGGGAAATGACACGGCAGGAAATCCCCGCGGATGTGACCAAGTGGTGACCAGACTAGGGTTAATTGCGCGAGGTGTGCAGCGCTCGCCGAAGGCAAGTCGTAACTGGTGTCGCGTATGTGATGTCTTGACGTTGAAATTTATAGATGGGGCTATTAATCGGCCATAGCAGTCCGCGAGATTCAAATTATTGTTGGAAAATAATTTAAATAGTTCAGAAAATTAAAAATATACCAGAAATAGAAGAATAAAGAAAGTCTGGAATACAATGGACAAAGAGAACGAAAAACAGCATCGCAAGCGTGAGAAAAACCGTTACGGAAATAGTAAATGTCAAATACTTGAGTTTTGTTCTTATAATTTACAACCCTTTAAAATTCTCGTTGAGTAAACACTTTCCTCGAAAATCCAAAATTTAGAGAAGAAAATAAATTTAACGGTTACGGTCCCATGTCGTAAAATCTCAGTTCTGGTTATTTCGAAAGTTTCTCTGTTTCACGTGACTAACATGTGTGGGCTCTCCTTTGTTCATTGTTTCGCTAGGCTGAGGGCCTGAGACCCTTCGCGACGAAGTTTCACGACGTCACACGCTCCCCTTCTTCCCCTTTTTTTTCATTTCCCCGCTTTTCCTTGAGTTTCACTTTTCCCTCTCCCCTGGGCCAGGATTGCGCGCGCAACTTTTGGTCCAGTGGGGTTGCGGACCCAACCCTTGGAGTTAAGTTTAAGTTTAAGTCAGTTCCATCGTGGAAATTCGTGGTGAAGCCTTCAGCTTCCAGGTTCTCTCTTCAAATAGTTTTTTTAGTAGAGTTTTTCTAGAGTTTATTAAATGCATTCTTTGTAGGGCAAAGTTTAAAGTCTGAAGTTGAAGTATTTTGAATAAAAGTGTTTGTGTGCTCTCTTAAGCACTTGTGTTGAATTTATTTCACAATTCAACCCTTCCAACCAAATATTCTGGGATTAAACAATTGGATTTCGATGGAGTGCTCATCAGAGCTTTGGCGGCTAACGAATCTACAGTCAAAATTGGCGCTCTAAATTCCATTGGCGCTACTGTCCTCCTAGTTACTTCGGTAGGACATAACACGTAGGTCACTAGTAGCGACGTAGGGTCCCTAGATTTCACCATTATAACTAGATATTTAACGCTAATTTTGATACTACAATTTATTCACTATTTAATAAATAAGATGTGAATAAATTCTAGAGTAACTCATGTTTGAACACGTTTGCGACAGGGAAAAATTAAGTTAGCTTAGAACGTAGACAGGAAATAAATAATAAATCTTTGGACTCTCCGATTACGCAGTTTAGACCTCTCAACAATAAATCTCCTTCCAGTACCTCTTTTTTTATCTATAGTTTTCAAGTGCAATTTGAGGCTCATAAAACCTTCGCAGACAGTGGACAAGATTTTTTTGTAGTGATTTTCAAGTTTTCAAGTTCGGGAAGTATCCAATACCAGTTCCCAGACCAGAAATTGTGAGAAGCAGTACAGAAAACCACTTTTCTGATCCATGTGATTGCATGTCTCAGTTTCGACTCGGTCTGCAACCCTCACACTTGTTAGAAAATTTTTATTCGGCCGTGTGACGAAAATAGTTATTTTATCATAGATCGGCATCAATCATTACTTGAGTAATATTGTGAGAAGGTGCATCTTACAATAATTAATATTTACTTATCTTCTTTGAAATTTGAAAAATAATATAATAATTGGTAATTTAAATTTCTCAATTATTGGTTGATGAAGTAATTCGAAATTTGAATATTTAAATTGATGGTTAATTTAATAATTAAAAAATTGGTGAGTAATATTAGCAATTGACTTATGCAAAATTTAACTGTAATTTTGAAAATTATAATTATGCCGATGTCTGCCTAAGAAACCCAACTTTCTCACCAAACAAACCTGTGCACCATGCATCCTCGAAAGATTGAAATACAAATTATACATTATAAAGGCTATTATATTCACAAAATTTACATTTCATTTATTACAGAATAGAAGCCCAATTCAGTAGGAAAATGAACTGCGATAAGTGAAATTAGACATTTTTATCATTTTTCCAATTATGAATTCCAACAAAAAATTTTTTTTACTTTATCCTCAAAAATCATTCATTATCATGATTATCAATATTTAACAAAAGGTACAAAAAAATCAACTCTTTCGTTATGTTTCTTTACCCTTATCACGCCCTCAATCAAGACGCAATAAATATGGAAAAAGGGTTTCTAAAATTATAAAAAAGACTCTTCTTCGGGCTCTCCAAATCAGCAACCAACTCTCAGCAACCAAAAATTCATCCTCCGAATCAACTCTCTCCCTCTTCTTGTTCCTATTCCGCATCCTCTCCCAGCTCTTCGTCTTCTCCTCATTTATTCTCCCCAAACTATCCTCAACGATCTTACAAACCTCGACAGTTCCTAAGAAACCCAACTTTCCCAGCAAATAAACCTGTGCATCATTCAACCTCGAAAAATTGAAATACAAATTATACAATATAAATGTTTTATATTCACAACACTTAGGTTTCATTTACTACAGAATAGAAACCCAATTCAGTAGGAAAATGAACTGTGATAAGTAAAAAAAAGACATTTTTATAATTTTTCCACTTTTGAATTCCAACAAAAAATTTTCTTTACATTCTCCGTAAAAATCACTCATCATCATGATTATCAATATTCAACAAGAGGTACAAAAAGATCGACCCCTTCGTTATGTTTCTTCACTCTTATCATGCCGTCAATCAAGACACAGTAAGTATTGAAAAAGGGTTTCTGGGATCATAAAAAAGACTCTTCTCCGGGCTTTCTAAATCACTCTCAGCAGTCAAAAATTCATCCTCCGAATCAACTCTCTTCGTGTTCTTATTCCGCCTCCTCTTGCAGTTCTTCGCTTTCTCCTCTTTAACCTTCCCCAAACTATCCTCAACAATCCGATAGACCCCTCGAAAGACCCTAAGAAGACCAGGAGCATTCTCGAGCTTCCCCTGCAGATAAACCTGCGCATCATTCCTCTTCGAGAGATTCGAATACAAATTATACAACAGAGTTCCATTAAACAACTCAGCAGGACGTGGATGGATATACGGATATCCCAAAAGTGCATTCAGGTGCATCGAGTGCCTCAAGCAACTCTGGAACTGCGCAAATGCATGAACAATCTCAACACAAAATCTCCTCGGTAAAGATCGAAGTCTCTCATCCATTTCGAAATGATTGACGAAGAATTGCGCCCCCATTATGCAGTCCTCTTCATCAACTGCATCGACAGCTTCCCTCAAACTACAATCATCATCCTCCTGCTTAATTAAAAACTTCTGATGCCTCCTCTCCTTTCCAATCCTCTCAAATTCCCCAGAGAACTTCCTTTCAAAAGCTTTCTTCGATCTCCTAAACCCAATTCTATCATCAATAATGCTGAATAGCATGGATGCAACCAGACAATTCAGGTGAATATTATTTCTCTCTGGAAGAACCTCTCGCCTCATCCAGAAGATCATCGTACCCAAATACAATCTCCAGCCTTCTGGACAATTGTCCAATCCATCTTCCTCAGAAATTCTCAAGACTTCGTCAATAATTTCCCTTCTCTCAACCGACGAAACTTCCCTGAGATCTTCAAGAGGTACTGGTGCCCTTGGAACCGTGATGAATCGTTTCACAAATTGGTTCCCTTCCCTCACAAGCAGCTCCAGAACATTCTCCTCTCCCTTGGAAGAGGACAACAAGCTAAATATCCTCGTGATTATGGGAATACTGATCTCGTGGGAGGAAGGTTGATCAAAGTCCTCAATCTGTGGAGTGAGAATATAAAGATTGTGCGTCAGCATGTTGATGAAGTACGTGGGAAAGTCGCCAGCTAGATGACCCTTGATGAACCACTCTGGTACAGATGATGCGAATTTCTCTGCTGCGAGGAGATCAGGCTCGTCATCAACCTCTTCCTCCTCTGCCTCCTCCTCATCATCTTCATCTTCAGTCTCTTCGGCTTCGACTTCGTCTCCCATCGCATCTAGTTTATCGAGATCCCCTTGAAACCTGAAAGTTTTCGTTTTGTTCTCTTTGATAGCAGACGTGTAAGTCTCGGTCAGACCCAGAGGCTCCAGCATGTACGTTGTTAATGTCGAATATCCATTGATGATGAGCTCAATAGAGTAGAGAACCCTTTTCCTCCGGTCTTTCCTCAGCTTTTTCAAGACAGCAGCGACCGCAGAATTCAGGGAATAATTCCTGAGCCAATTTAGAATCGTTTGGATCCTCCTCTGCTGTTCATTTTGGGTTTTACTCTTCTTCAACTTTAATTTACTGAAGAAATCCTTAAAAGTACTTCGTTTAATGTAGTCGTTACCGAGGAGGATCGAGGCCAGAGGTAAAAGACTCGCATCCAGCCCCTGGAATTTATTCAAAAGCTTTTCCACTCGGTATATTTTACATCTCTTGGCATACCCTGATCTATTCTTGATGACGAAAGGGTCTAGAGTTGTGAAAGGAATGTACTCGACTCCATAAATATAGAAATCTGAATCATAACTCAGAACAGGAGCCTTCAGGATCCTTGCGACAGCTGCAATGCACTCGTCAGCTTCAAAGGGACACATGACAAATTTAATCCCCAGGTTGACGAGAACATCCCTGAAGACATCGGTCTGCATTAGGGGAAAATACTTCAATCTGTTCTGCACTGCAGGACCGAAGTTTGAGGCTGTGGACAGTCTGTCACGTGCACGATTGTAAACAGTCATTCTTTTTTTGTTCTCCCAGCCTCCATCAAGGAGGACTATTGGAGTCACCTGACAGCGCAGGAGGTCCTCGAAGAACTGGGTCACACTGTGGGAGAATTGATCGTAGTCACCACCAAAGGTGCAGTTGCATCTGGCTATTTTACAGTAGATCTGGGAGCTCAAACTCCAACCGTCTATCACTAGGTAGGTGTTCTGGAGCTCGTGGGGCTCGAAGAAGTAGTCAGAGCGGTTGGCTATGTAGGTTGTTAACCCTCGAATTCCCATTTTCAATCAACCAATTTTGACACTTATTCAGATTTAATAATTAGGGCTTTTTTAATGTTTTTATCACCTCTTTATATTCTCATTATTATTAGCCTTTGTGTATTTAGTTCGTCTGTATTTAGAGGAGTTTTACAGGTCAACTGTAAAAAAATTAATGAAATAATAAAGTCTTCTTATTGTTCAATTGAAATAATGCTTTAGGTGGGTAAAATGAGCCATTTTCAATCATTAATTTTTTTTTGAGAGGGGCATGATGATCTCATCCCCCTCCCAGCATGAGAGGAGACATGATGATGATGGTTGTTTTTTTGAGCGGGGCAAGATGAGATTGAAAGAATTTTTTTTCATTTTGAGGGTAATTTTGTAGGTTTTAAAATTAATTTAAAACCTTCAAAAATATTTATCTGAATCATATCATTGCGGTAGCAGATATTGATGATTTTATGTGGTTCATTTTATTTTACCTTCTCCTATTGCATTTTTTTATTACCTTTTTATGGTCTATTTTCCTCGTGGATGGATCCTAGGTATATTTACCTGAATGTCACAGGTTCACTGTTCAGATGGTGAAAAATATGTTGGGCTCAATCTCAGGTAAGAAATGAAATTCTTCTTATTAGTCTTCAAGTGGCAATGCGAACTTTATTCCATATTCTTACGTTCATGTCTCTTCATGTTTTATTATCTTCCATGGACCTCTATTTTCTGAATATTCACAGCAGTTTTATTGGTCAACTGTAATTAAAAACCGAATTGAAGAATATTTCTTTCTCACTTTTTAATCATATTTATGACTGTATTTGATGTTTTCATCACCTCTTCATTATTTTCCTTCGTGGTTCTCTATACTCTAGATATTTATATGGGTTTCACAGCTTAACTGCTCCAATAGTAAAATGTGAGAGATTCAATCGTAAATGAGAGGATTATTTCTCTTGATTACTCTTTGAATGATAATGAGGACTATTTCACTTTTTATCCAATCTTCGTATTTAACACCTGTTAGAAATGGAGTAGAAACACCGAGCGCTTTCTCGTTTATTTTTCCATTGTCAATTTATACAGATTTTATTGAAATTCTGTAAAGAATTCTAGGTGTTTCTTGCACAAATTTCAAATTGAAAAACGTGCAACTTGTCCATGTGTCTTTCAATAGATATTTTTCGATATAGAAAAGTCAATAAATGTTGATTTTCTAATATACCTTAGTCTGTTGGATTTTTTTTTCTATGGGAATTCGTGGAGATGAATTTTCCAATTTTTTGTTCCTTCGATTTTATAATGAAGAACAGGAACATATACAGTGAACAAAAACTAATAAAATTGAAGTCAAATAATTCCTATAGAAAAAATAAAAATTTGGAGATGTTTTTCGGTCGAATATCTTCCAAATTTTTAATAGAAATCAGCGCAGAAAATAATTTGTGGATAGAATTCTGATAGAACTCCAATAGACTTGTTCTGAAATTTCAATAGAAATGCAATAGAATTTACTTAGACAAAATCCTAATTTAAGGCCTGCGTGGATTAGCTTTCGAACATTATCTTGATTGTTTATCCATCTTCATAATGTAAAATATATTACAATTTCCATTGGATTTTAAATCACGCAGGAATCTCTAAAAATTATGATTGTACTATCAAAAAAAGTAGAAAAAAAACTGATCATTTTCAACGACTGTTTTTAATAAAGATTAAGAAATAAGTCCGATAGAGAGGAAATAGTGAATGGATAATTTATCATGGTAACTAGCGATCTGACAGCCATTGACTACTGTGACAAATGACGACCTAACAACTATAAGATACATCAAATTATTAATTTGCAATTTCCTCCCTATTGGGTTTATTTCCCAATATTATTCAAAAACGCTCTTTGAAAATGTTCAACTTTGTTTCAACGTCTTCTCAATTGTACACTAATAATTTTTGGAGACTCCAGGGATATGTAAACCGAATAGCAATTGCAGACCATTTCAGATTATCAAAATAAAAAAAAACCAAGATCACGTTCGAAAGATAATCCAGCCGGGCTTTAATTCTATTGAATTCTTAAGAATTCTTCAGTATTGTTGCTTAGAGACAGCGTTTTTTCAGTGAAATTTTTTCATACGTCAACAATGTTCCCTCGTAGATTTCTATCCTCGCAGTATCCACATGAGTTGCCCAAACTAATTGTTCCAATGACGAAATATGTTCGACAATCGTAAATAGAACCAATACTTCTATTATTTTTCAAACAACAATGAGGACTAGATTCGATGTTTTCATCACCGTTTCATGCCTCAGCTGTTTTCCCTCGTGGGGTTTTTAGGTTAACTGTCAAGTGGTAAAACTGAGTAAAACCTAGCTAGGTTAGACTCCATTGTTTTCGAATTCATAGTGCTCGTCTTTTCTTAGCCGGCACGCCAGTGCCCCCAAAAATCATTAAAATCGTCTTCATAAATTAATCAAGCCCTCTCCAAGTCCCGAAAAATCGCGAGGTCCCTCGCAACCAAGTGAACATCTTCAGAAAATGGAATGGAACTCGTTCTACTCGAACGCTTGCTACGAGTGTGGAAATTGGGGTGAGGGTTACTCTCTAAACTACTGTAAAAATTGTCGAGCAGTTGGATTCTGCGAGAAAGACTCAAAGACTCAGAATCCGAAGCACAAGGACCTCTGCGAGGTGCTGACACAGTTGAGGGGTGCGTCCCCCTCGGTCTTCACGGGTGATGGGGGTGAGTGGAACCAGGCATCTTGGGCCCTCATGAAGACCAACCTCATGCTGATTACTCAATTAAAACTTGGAAGGAAGCTGAACAAACAGGAGGAAGAGGTCCTAAAATTCCCGAAACGATGTGTCACTTGTTTCGAGACAGATCACAATAATTTAACAGACTGCAAGGTATGTCCCGGCACCAGTTTTTGCCCTCGTCACATGCAGTCGAAGGAGGAGCACTCCGAGAGATGCAGGAAGATAACAGAATGCGCTGCCTCTGACGTGTTTTTCTCCCCGATGTTGAGGAGAGACATTCCGAGTGTTCCAGAGGATCAAAGTCCTTCGAAACTCCCCGAGGATATGAACCAATTCATTAAAATCTGTGGACCAAACTTCGTGCCATTCCCCCACAATGTCCAGACGTCAGCGAGCTCTGAGGTATTCACTAGACCCCTGAGTCTCTTATACGGAATCGAGAAAATTAATTATGAAATTAAAGACAGATTGGTGGTGCACGTGGTGGGGGCGAGTGCTGTGGACCTAGAGGACCCCAGCACCTTTGAGATCATCCTCCACTTCAGACCGAACCTGAAGGAGATATTGCTTGTTTTTGTTGGTCCTGACCTCGAGGGCATTGAGATGCCTTCGATGACCCCTTATTTGTGCAGAGAGTGTAAGAAGAGGGATGTTAAGCTCGATGTGAAGATAATAGCTAGGTTTTATCATGAGTTCTTCGAGGGGGAGGAGTTCCTGAGTCCTGATGTCGTCGTTGGGTACAATATCGGGGTCCACGAATGTGTAGAGTTCAATTCTGAGAGGGACACGTGGGCTCCGACGATAAAAACCATTGGAGGGTTGATGTGTCCTCTGATTGTCACGTCTTACACGCAGGAGGAAGCCCAGAAGGACTATGAGAGGATTTTAGGAGGTTCTGAAAATTTTGTGGGGGTCGTGAACCAGAAAAATCCGTTTGGGAGCCTGAGGCACTACAGGGATTTTGAGAACGATGAATTTTATTATCAAAATCAGTTCATTATGGTTTTTAAAGGGGGTGAGAGGCGGGAGGGAGAGGTAATTGGAAGGATGGAGGGATTGACACTGAGAGAGAATGTTATGGTTTGTGATTGAGGCAATTTAGACTTACCCTGGAGGCGACGACTGGAAAATCCGTTCCTGGTGTCGATGAAGAGGACTCTACCATCTAGACCGTCCTTTTCTTGGCACAACTGAGTTGTTATACACAGTTGGAAGCTGAAAATCATGGGTTTTGTGATTTTTTGAATTTTGTATATTTTTATTTGGATTTTGAATTTTTCCAGTTGAAATGTTAGCTAATTTGGAGTGGATAGAGGGAGAACAGGGTGAGTTAAAAAATTGGAGGAATATATTTTTTTTAGTTATCTCGGAAACTAAAATGACAGATTTTTTAAAAATTCAACTAACAGCGGCATTAGAATTAACAATATTGTTAAATTTAATTCAATTTCAAATCGCATTTATTGAATTTCTTATTTATCCTGGAAAATTTTATAATTGAGTTTTTTACGTTGAGCGATCATTGATATTTCAATGATAGCTTGAATTTCAAAATTCATTGTGAAAATTGAACATTCCATTCAATTAAATTTCCAATAGATTGCGAAGTTCGAGCACTAGCTGCCGGAATTCTCATTCAATATTCCAGATTAATTGATTCCGCATTGACAATGTAGATAAAAATTTCATGTCAATTAGTCACTGTTGAAAAATTTTAGACATTTTACTCTGAATTTCGAAATTAATTCTTTAGGAGTATAGTGGATTTGGAAAAATATCAAGATGACTTTTTTGCAGTTTATAAAATATCCTAGGAAGTACAGATTTTGAGTTTTTCTGATTTATCTAGCAGTTTCGAAGATATTGCTGGAGTGGAATCGTGAGAGTTTCAGGATTTTTATGGGTTTTTAACGTAGAGGATGTCACAAAGATTAGCAATATTTTTTTTAGTATTTTTTACCTAGGAAATTAGTTATTTAATAAAGATATTGTGGGGAACCAGATAAGTTTAGAAATCATGTGCACAATCTCTTCAAATATTTATGAAACCAATGGGTTCAGAGAGAAATTTCGGAGACTTTTTGGGTAGAATAACATTCCGTACCAAGAATGTTTTGTAAGATAGTTGGGTGTCTCCAGTAGTACCGGATATATTTGAGTAAATGTGTTCTGTTATTCACCTCCCATTTTCACTATTTCAAAGTTCAACTATTTTTGTGAATTATGAGTTTTTGTGATTTTTTCAGTTTACTAAGTATAAGAAGTCGGAAGGACCAATCATATTTTCATTGAAATTCTCCTTTTATTTTAAAAAGGGAGCCGTTAAGAACTAAATAAGTTTCAAAAATGTTTAGACAATTTTTTCCAACTGTGGGCTTTGAGAAGAATATCGAAATATCTCGAGGACCTTTTTTATAGAATAACATTCCGTACCAGAAAGGCCTTGTAAGACAGTTGGGTAGACTCTACTTGTTCAGAATATATTTGAGGATAAATCTGAAGAGTAAATGTGTTTTGTTATTAACCCCCTACATATTCACCATTTCAAAGCTCAACTATTTTTGTGAATTGTGAGTTTTTAAGATTTTTTTCAGTTTACGAAGCCTAGGAAGTGGGAAGGACCGATCATATTTTTATTGATATTCTCTCTTTATTTGAAAAAGGGAACGGTGAAGCACTAAATAAGTTTCAAAAATGTTTAGATAATTTTTTACAACTGTGAGCTTTGCGAAAAATATCAGAAGACCTTTTTTGTTGACAATAAAATTCTCTACAACAAAAGTCTTCACTAGACGCAGTTGTTTTAGTGCTATGTACCTACGAACTCAATACGTATTGTATCTATCTCGCCTTTTCTAATACTTTACAAATAAATTATTTCCGCAAAATATTAAGCAAGGAAGGGACCAACTATGTTTTATTACTATTTTGTTTACAATCATTCAATTAATTTTCTGTCAATCAATGTTTTCATTCCCTTTTGAATGATAAGTAATTAGGAATTGATTCTCAATAATGTAATTACGAATAACGTAAAATACTTACCAAATCTGTGTCTTTCCTGTCCCCGGTGCACCACAAAGCTCTGTAATACTTCCGCAGGGAAACCCACCATCCAAGAGTGCATCCAATGCTTTACTGAATGTTGTGACCCGCTGACAGAGCAGTTCTGCCTAAGAATAGTAATAAATCATGTAAATAAAATTTCCTGTTGTTCATTTCTCTCAATTCCAGGGTGAGTGACCCACCTGCCAATGATCCAGGGCTGATAGAGTGGTTGAAGGGGTACAAGTTTTCATCAATTCATCCACATCCACGAACCGCCTCGCAGCTTCTGCCAGAATCATTATTTAATTAGCGAAGTAGTGAAAAAAGTAGAGATTATCTTTATTAAAGTAGTTCTACACTTATGATAAATTCAGAAATCATTGACAACTTCAAAAAAAATTCAGAAAACTTGATTAGATTCCGAATTGTAATTTTGTCTTTAATTTAACTAGAGTTTTGGTTCTGGAAGAAAAAATGTTGAAATATCAGAATTTAACCCAGCGTCTTATGTGAAAATCAACTTTTCCATTATAATTAAAGACTAAATACGGAAGTTTTCTCATTAGATATGAAAAAATCGAAAAATTCTTCGACACCTTACAGAGAATAGTCGGTCAAACTGAAAGAGTGTGAATTAGTCAAATTAATTTTATTATTTTTGCTTTTTGGGGTTCACACATATCAGCTGCGTCTACGTCGCCAATCCTGGATAATGCTAAACGCTAGTATGGCTTATTATAAAATTGCCATACCATGCGTTCTTGAATTTGTTTTGAAATATTTAATTCATAATTTAAAAAATGATATACCTCTGAATCTGCCTGAGCAGCCATAATTCTTACATGAGGTGTCTCAAAGAAATTTACATTCATATTAGCTGCCTAGGTTGCCCATGATTTAAAATCACGAATTTTTAGTTTTACGGAATGATATCGAAACCCAAAACGACTTCGATATATATTCGAGTTCAAATATAAAATTTGTGTAAGATCTCTACGGAGATTCTTATACGAGGTAGGTGGAAAAAATAGCCCACACACCCAAAACGTGTGAAAACCCACCGAACTTGAAAATTTTCCTTGGTATATTTTTTCGAGATTCCTTATATGTTAATTCCACGAAGAATCCGAACATTTCTTATACTAATCGTGGGAGATTTGTAGAAATTCCTATTCTCTACAGGAGTAAATTCCATGCAGAATTATTTATAGAAGAGTTTTTTTAATAAGTCTGGTCCTACATAAGAAATTGGCCTAAATTGTTGGAGATACAGTAGAAGAGAACTCTCAATTTTCTTGCGTTTTAACTCAGCAATGAAGCTATTTATCATAGATAACTAATGAATACGAAAAGTAGCTTGATGTTTGTATTCAATTACCTTAACGCCACTAATATGAACGAAACTCTGAACTTTGAAACAACTTTTTATTCACAGAAAAAGAAAAAAATTGAAATATTTCGATTAAATTTTTGGAAATTCCTATCAAGTGACAATTCCACTGAAATTTCAAGGTGTTGAGTGATTGAACGTTTACAATTCGGTGAAAACATCTATGGAAACAATGAATTTCAGTCCAATTAGGGGAGGGTGGGGTAAAACGGACACTTTTAGACTTTTTTAAAATTATTCATAACTCAGAAATAAATTGATCAATTGAGCTCAGTTTAGGGTCGTCACAAAGGGAAAGAATTGTTCTGTATTGAAAAAAAAATTATTAAATTTTATCAACATTTCAACCCCTCATTAACATTTTAAAAAAATCAAAAGAGTCCGTTTTACCCCAGCCTCCCCTAAGGATTTTGCAATTCCATGCCTTCCCCCTCGCCCCTAAGTTCGAAGTCTCCCGAAAATTACTACTAAACTAAATCCCAATTGTTGTCTAACAATTAAGTTTTTGTACAGTTGAGAATCTAAATTTCTAAAACTTTTCCTATGGAAGGCATTCCTACAAAAATGTCAATTTTCTTCGTAAACCCATCTTATAGAACCATCAGATATTATCGAACTCCTTCACACGTGGACCTACTGATTCCATCCCCAATTCACCTCCATGTAAATAATGATTAGAAATATCTTCAAAATACCTGGAGCTTTCTGGATATCCTCCAAGTAAGTGAATCCATTCTTTGTAAGTAAATCCAACGTATGTTTCGATAATGAAAACGTCCCGAGCGGTCTAAACATTCCGATCATCCATAAAAATTTCACGATTCCTTCAAACTGCGCCAAACTGTCAGTTCGGAAGGTTCAAAAACACATGTGACACTCCAGTCTAGCCAAGACCACCCCACAAAATCATCTAGTTACATCTAGTAATTTCGTGTTGTCCCCAAATCGATCATTTTCACGAACATTCCCTACATTATCGATACAAAAAAATATAGCTCTCAACACATAAAAAAAAGACACACGTGCCATAACACGCGTGAAGCGGCACTTAAAGGCGGTTAACCTCTATTTACAATTGCCCTAATCGTTGTGTCTCCAAATCATCAACAAAACAGTCCACAATTAGTCATCAAGATGACAGACAATGGTGAGTGGTTCCTTCAGCTATTGATTAAACGTTGAGATAAATATTAAATTATTGATTGTTTGGTTTGCAGTGCCAGACCTGGTGTCGAGCCACGAGATGGAATTGGAGTGCAGTGATGATGAGAGGGGAGACGACTGGGATGAGATTGAGGATGACACATGTAGAATCATCTGTTTATTCTGCGAGAAGGAATCTAGGGGATATTCAGAGGGCACGAAACACATGAAAAGTTCTCATGGGTTAGACCTCGCAAAATTCATAAGGGATCGACAATTGGATGATTACACGTACAGGAAGTTCGTTAATTACGTTAGGAAGCATAAACCATCCCCTGGGGATCTCGCCGGGTGTGAGAAACCCTGGGATAGTGACGAGTACCTGGTGCCTGTTCTTCAGGATGATGTTTGGCTCATGCTGGGTTAGTTTGAAGATTTTAGAGCGATAGTTTGCATGTATAAACAAAATTGATACCGGCAAAAACCTATCGCTTCCTTCAAGAAATTCTATTCAATTTTTTATTGGAGGCCTGTGATATTTGTATTGGCTTTTCTATTTAAGAATCTATGAGAAATATTTTTTTACACATTTAAATTTGGACTCTGCAGACTAGAAACTCTTTGGAAAAATAATGGAAAATTCTGATAAGTATTGTTATTCATGATCATATTCATTTCAGCCATCAAAAATGATTAATTATACCTCAATTCGCTAAAAGTGCTCGAAACTAGAGAAACTAGGAGAAATTAGCATGAAAAAAGTGCCCGAAAACATGGTGATTCTAAAATGTAAAGGCCCGGTCGATTTTGTTTTAGAATCCTATTGAAGAAATCTACTTGATTTTTGTGTCGATTGCTGTCAAAAATTATGTCAACAAATTTTTCGATAGCGATTATTTTTTTGAGATTCTATTTTCTTTTTTTTGAGAATACGCGATTTACATTTGAGCCTAATTGATATTTCGAGAAAAAGTTTTTTTGTCAAATTTCTTTTTACGATATTGTTATAATGAAATTGGTTGGAATATTTAGATTTTATTTTTTTCCTGCAGAATAAATGAATACCCTGGTGAAAGACACCTTGTGCATCTTACACATTGACTGATATCAAAGATTTTGTGTCTTTATTCTCCCAATGTAATACTTAATCAACCTTACATGAATGACCGTAGGTAGCTGGGAAACTAGAGTTTTTTTTATGAATGCAAATGGTTATAGAATTTTTAGTAGATATTTTTGGACAAGAATTTTACAAGCTTTAATGTCGTGTTTTCTGTGTTTACCTTCGCAAAAATCAAGACAAAACTTGAATAATTCATTCCTAAGCGTTGTTATAGAAAAAATCCGAGCAGAACAAATAATAGGAAAAAATCACCATTTACTGACGTTTTTGTATAAAAAAATATCACATGAGGACAACAAAACACAACGCCCAACAAAGTTACGTAATTTTCTATGGAAATCGGCACAAAAAACCGCGGGACAATTTTCAAAAACTTTCTATAGGGTGACCCACGACCGATCCTTCTCCTTCGAGGGTATTGAAGAGGATGCTTTTGACGTAGAAACATCCCCTTCCACTTTTGGATCTGAGCACTTTTTTCCCGCTTTTTGGAAAATGATTTTGGACGCGACAGGGCAAGAAGGGGAAGTGTGGTCGTAAATGGTTGCATATGTGAGCATCAAACGTACTTTAAAAAAATAAAAAAGGAAAACAAATTTTGAACAATTGTAAAAAATAAATATCCGCCCCTGAAATCAGTAGTAATAGACCGAAAGAAAAACAAGCAGCGCGAAGCCATTTGACAGATTACATACGACTGCTACTCTCCACCTGTTTTTTTCTCCTATTTTCATTTCTACCAATTCCATTGGTAGTAGGCTTCTGAATGGATATCAATGTATGTTTTCACAAAATGAAGGCATAAGGTTACCATTTTTGGAAATATGCAAGCCAATCCCACTCATACTTCATGACAAAAAAATTTTTTTTTCTCATGAATTTTGGATGAATTGTTCTATCTCAAGAACAATCAAATATATCGATCCAAAATTTAATATAGGAATGTTTCTTGACAATCCTAACTATAAGCCAAAGTTTCAAAAGGTTTCCCTGAGTTTTACCCATGTCATAACGCGCAAAAGTGAATTCGAATCAAAAAAATTGAAAAACGTAAATATCTCTCAACTTCTCAATAGGATGGTACACATATTTTGTTAGATCTAGGCAGATGACATTAAGACGGACATTTTGAAAAAAAAATGAAATTGGACCAATAGTTTTTGAGATATTGAGCAAAAGAGTTTCACATACAAAGTTGAATATTCCCGAAACTAATGGTCCGATTCCGTTCATCTACAATCCCAAACTTTGTTATCATAAAACCTAAAATCATACCAACGTTCAAGTTTCTATCTCAATTATTTTTTAAGTTATCATGCATACAAGCAATTTCAGTGAAAAAATGAAAAAACGAGAATAAAACTACATTGCTCGGATGCAATGGTCTTTTTTCGATCCAATTGAATAGGTATCATCATGACGAGTATTTTGAAAATAAAAAAATTAGAATCCGTCGCATGGTTAAGGAGATATCGGCAAGAAACGATTTTTGAGAAATCGTTATATCTCAGGAACCGCACAACCGATCGAGCTGAAATATAACACAAATTTGACTATTAGTAGTACCAATTAGCAGTCAGAATTTCAGCGTCTTTGCGTTCATCAGTTCTGGACAACCGGACATAAATGTGCACACATACCTACATACATACAGACATTTTTCAAAAACATCATTTCGTCACGTTTCATGACATTTCTAGGTATTTCCACCGAAAATTAGGAAATTGAAAAAAATAATGCTTACAAGATTTCTATTCGGAAGCAAAAAGACGCACCAAAAACATCAAAAACCATCCTCTTCAAGACCCTCGGAGGAAAAGGATCGGTTGTGGGGCAGCCTGTGTAGTATCTTCATAGAGTTCTAATCAGAATTCAATAAAATTGCTAAGGGAAACGACGGGTTTTTTTATTAAAATTTTTCATATGTGGATAATGTATGATCCATTAATGGAGATGACTAATGAAAGGTTTCTTCTGAAGATATTGAGGAGCTGGAGGAGCAGGGAGGGTGCCCAGAGGACTCGACGAAAGCCGCCTCGTTCCCCGTGAATTGTGAGAATGGATGTGTTACGTTGTCTGAGACACATTTCGCGGAGTTGCAGAGGACGATTCAGTCACTGCGGGCACAGGTGGAGCAGAGGGAAGCTGCTTGCTATCTAGCTAAGCAGGTAAACATCTTAGATTTTTGATAATCGGTTTGAATGAAATTGCGCTTCTATTGTTTGATAAGTGGGTCCACAAGGGAAGAGATTTGAGAGGGTTCATTAAAAGATTTTTTTGTAGCCTTTGGAATCATCGGAACAGGTTCTCCATAAATTCTATTAAACCTCGGCCTCTGAAGTACTAGCAACATAGGGGTGAGTGGGGCAAAATGAAACAGTCGAAAAACGACTGTTTGATGCAGTTCAAGCAAAAAAAATTTTTTCATTAACGCCCGACTGTCTTTCGAATGTTATCTCGATGTTTTTTTTCATCTTTCGTCATCTGAAATTGTCAATTAAGTCCTGCATCATGCAGAAGTTTTGAAAAATTATGAATGAATAACCAAAAAAAAGTAGAAATAATTCTTAATTTTTTCAAAGAGCATTTTTAATTTATATTCAGAATAAGTTGAATAACAAGAAATTGAAAAATGTCACCCAATATCATGCAGGGGGAAGACTGATTTCGTAAATCTTTTCCCACACTGCACAGAGATATTTATTACGGAAAAGGCTCTTTGAAAAAAATTTTAATACTTTGGAGAATTTTTTAATCACACTTTTATCACATAAAAATGGGAGATGGCTACATACCACTGTTTTGAAAATTGACATACCTAGCTGTCACCTCCCATGAGGAGTTAGTGTTTTGTTAACAACCGTGGAAAATGACAGCTAATAGATAATTTGCCACAGCAAATCAGATATTTTTAATTTCAACTTTTTTCAACTCATTTTGAATCTCAATTAAAAATGCTCTTTGAAAAAGTTCAGAATATTTTCGATTTTTTTTTATCATTCTATCATAATTATTTCGAATTTCTACATGATGTACCACTCAATTGACAATTTTGGATTACGAAAGATGAAAAAAATCCAGATAACATTCGAAAGATAGTACACCCGGGCCTTAATTTTTTTTTTCATCAACTTTTATTTGTTAACTTTTTTTATTCTTGGGAGTACTGATGAGAATAATAATTTTCCATGCAGTAGAATCGAAAATTATTGAGAAGTTTTGACGGGAGATTTTGTCAATTGATTAATTGAAAAGAAAAGTGTAATCGGCCTAATCTAATCAATTGAGTTATAAGACGAATAGAAAATTATTATTCTCATCAGTACTCCCTATAATAAAAAAAAGTAAATAAACAAAGTTGATAAAAAAAAAATTTTTTGTTTGCATTGCGTCTAATAGTTGTTTTTCGGCCGTTTCATTTTGCCCCACTTTGCCCTAGGTAAAATATAAGTGTTTAATAGATAATAATTGAGTGAGTAGTTTTTCAGATTCCATACATTGGTAAAAAAAAAATTGAAATTCCATGAACAGTGGAAACAGTGTTTTAGTAATTTTCAGGAGAGTCGCATTAAATGCGATTTAGACCCAGTTGCACCAATCCCAGTTAAACAGATCCTCAGTTAAGTATCAAAATGAATAAAAATAATTTGCCCATCAATTTTGATCAAGAGGTCATCGAAGATATTTCACCAAAAAACGTGGTATATCAATGAATAATCATTATTTGCCGATAATACAACTAATTATGAAGTATCTAGTCAATATTAACGAGCCGATGGCCAAATGAAAGAACTCTACGACGACTTCCTAAAATGATCCAACTGTGGAATAAAATTACTCCAGATGCAAAGTTAGTTTGACGATTTATTTGATTAATAGGGCTTGGTGCAACCGACCCTTAGGGGGGGAAAAATCATGAAATTTCAAATTTCACTGAAAATTTAATAAAATTCCAAATTGTTGAGCAGCATTAAGACGAGACTTCGCCAATTTATTTTAATTGTCAACGAAAATATGAATATTTAGTGCCAAATTACACTGAATTGTCAATTAATTGAAAATTAAAAAATATATTTAGCGGGATTTTCCTGATTTCAACTAATTTTTAGGAAATAATTGAACTGAATTTTGTAGTTATCGTCGATTTTTTCATGAAATTCTGAATTTTTATTTACGAAATTTCTTGACATTTCCGTGGAACTAAAATTTGATAAAAATTTCCAAAAAATGTATCAAATATTTCAGCCGAAAATTTTTAACATCTTTTGATAAATTCTCAAAGTCCGTTCGCTTCCGAGATATTCGCAGAGTAATTCCACCCCGTTGAGATTAAAATTCAATTGTCATTTTTCTTTTTTTCGTATGAAGCAAATCGATGAAATGCAGAAAAAGGTCCAAAGTATAATGTTCGACGACGAGCCCGAAAGACGATCGAAAAGATGTGTGAAAAACTTAGGAGCTGTTGACGATGAAGGATACTTCAACACCTATAGTCACTTCGCGATTCACCACGAAATGTTAACCGACACTGTCAGAACAGAGAGCTATCGAGATGCTCTTCTGACAAACTCCCACATTTTCAGAGACTGCACGATGCTGGACGTGGGCTGTGGGACAGGGATCCTCTCGATGTTCGCAGCAAAATCTGGATGTAAGCGAGTCCTCAGTGTTGACCAGTCCGATGTTATCTACCATGCGATGGATATTGTCAGGGAGAATAATCTCAATGACGTGATTGAGTTGAAGAAGGGAAGGCTTGAGGACATTGATCTGGGGGTCGATAAGGTTGACGCCATCGTGTCTGAATGGATGGGCTATTTTCTGTTGTTCGAGGGGATGCTAGACACTGTTATTTACGCCAGGGACCATTACCTAAAACCTGGAGGTAAACTACTGCCTAATCGTTGCACCCTGAGTCTAGTTGGAAGTGGAGACACAAAACGATACATCGACCTAGTCGACTACTGGTCCAATGTTTATGGCTTTAAAATGAGTTGCATGAAGGAAAAGGTTGTTAAGGAACCCAGTATCGAAGTCTGCAGTGCCAAGGACATCGTCACAAGTGTCTCTCTAATTCAGGATTTCGATCTCTTCACTGTGAACACCAGCTGCATGGACTTTACTACAGCTTTTGAGCTGACTGTCAAGAAGACTGGCTCGTTGACTGCCATTGTTGGATATTTCGACGTCTTTTTCGATCTCGATAATCCCATTTCGTTCAGCACTGGACCGCATGCAAAACCTACTCACTGGAAACAAACTGTTTTCTCACTTAATGAGCCCATTAGTATTACAGAAGGTAATTTTGTTGATTATACTATTTTTTTACATTCTCATTTCTTAGTTTAGCTTTTTGTTTAGACTTTTTGTGTTGCTTGCTTTGTTTTTTATTTCATTTTTTAGGGGGATATTATGACACAATATTATAAAAAAAACCTTTTCATAGAGGAAAATACGAAATACAAAAAAAAAGTTTTATAAAAAAAATTTTATAAAAATTGGAAAAGTTTTAGCATTGCTTTGGATTCCAAGATTTTTATCAATAATTCTCCTTTGAGTTAATTTTGTAATGAGAAGTTTGATTTCTCTGTTAATTAAATTTTTTTTTTTAAATTAAAAAAAATAGACTGAAAGTCCTCAGGCAATAATCGGTTGTAAGTCATTATATGATCTAGCAACGATTTTGTTAGCCATGAATAAAAAATAATAATAATAGAAGTAAAAGAAGGTTCTTTGAAACTAACTTATTACTAAGATAATTTTATCCTTCACTATCCAATTAATGAATTGCAATTATTACTTTCAGGTGAGACAATACCTGGAAAAATAATCTGCAGACGACATCCCAAGGATGTCAGGGCCTTAATTATCACCCTCCATGTTCGAGATTTTCGACAAGTATATTATCTCGACTAGACCAACTGCCAAAACTACAAACTCATTCAATGAAACGAATTTTTTCAATGTTCAAAATAGTTACAACGAAACAAATGATCCTTTCTCCGATTTATCAAGATTTCAATTAGTCTTGTTCGCTAGAGACTTTTATCCACTTGATAATAGTCATTCAACAGTTGTCAGTTGACGTTGATCGATGATTTTTCTCGCGTTTTTTCGGGGATTTTCAAAGACTCAGATTTAGAGTTTGGAGTTGAATTAATTTAGAAGTTGATCGATTTCTTCAACTTTTTGAATAATCATTGATGATTCACGTGCCTTTAGCATTTCGACAACAAATCCATTTACTAGGATTATATATGCATTTTTCATGCATACAATATCGATGATGATAATCATTGTCTCAAAATCTTTACTTATATATTGCATGCTGCACAATCTTACTGCATAGGGAATTAATATTACTGCAACAGTTTATTTTTCTGTGAATTGTATATTTTTTTCATGAGAAATATGTACATTTATATCAATTCGACAATTCAATGCAATTGTTCAATTAATTTCACTTGAGGATGGAGCGGAGCACAAAATGATTTTTTTGTTTTATATGGATGAATTTATTAAGTTTTGATGAATCTTTCTGTTTTTATTGAGTTCCAAAGTTATAAAAAATGAAAAATCATAAAATCGTAAGGAATTAGATGTCTTATAATGAGATAAAGCCACAACTGAATTCAAGTTGTCAGGACACGATCAAGTAGCTCTCATCCATTCTTCCGACCAAATAAATTAACTGAATAATGATAATCTTGTTAGATTTCAAGCTTTTACATTCTCAAGTTTGCCAAAAATTTTAAATAAAATGAAATATGTTGAGCTTCATAATTGTAATAAGTTAACAGCATGAACAATAATAGTGAATAATACTAAGATTTTTGAGATTGCGCGGTACTACCTCCTGTGATATTATAGAAATCGCGAATTTGACAATGAACATTGCCACAATGATAAAATAATAAAAGTTACAAAGAGAGAGATGTAAACAGTAAGAGTATTGCACTTTTTCCTCGCTTTTATGAGCTTCTGAAACTCAACTTTCAAAAAATAATGTAGATTTTATTCGAATAAATCTTCTTTACAAGTTGATGATCTTAAAATATGATGTGTTATTTTTTACTAGTTAGTGTGATTATTGAACTTCCTGAGTGTTGATATTTTTTGTGTGAGTGTTGATATTTGTGGACGTCCGCATGAAAAGGGACCACTTTGGCACTATTGGAGTTATGTATATGCCGATAATCTTGATCCGATTCTGCAAATTTAGAGCCAAAAATGAACTTGATAGCGTAAAGAGTGACGACGCTATAGACGATCGGAAAAATAATTTAACATGGGTTTAAATGGGAGTTGGCAAGAGAAAAACGTGAATATCTCGGAAAATAGATTCGACAAAGTGGTCCCTTTTCATGCGGACGTCCACATTTACTCTTATCGATGATCATTTTCGACAAAAGTTTGGATTGTCTGTTTGCCATCCTGTGGCATTGGGGCCGAATTGGTAGACTAAATTGTCGTTTTTGACGGACTGGAAGATTTTACTGCTGTAATGATACCTGAAAGGAATCATAATCATTAGATGAGGCGTTCATCTTATGTCGAAAGGAGAGGTGAGTGGAAGATTTCATGCGGATTATTGCCGAAATGTTTCAAGGAGTACTGGGTTTAGAGAGAAATGTAGATGTGGGCGAGTATTTTTTAATTCTCGAAGTGATGCGAATAGTAAAAGTATCTAGGGAAGAGTGGGGTCAAATGGACACTTTTGATTTTTTTTAAACTGTTAATCACGGGTTGAATTGTTGATGAAATGGAATATTTTTTTATCAAGGAAAAGAACATTCATTTCCCTTTGTGATGACCCTAAACTGATCTCAATTGGTACATCTGTTTTGGAGTTACAAATATTTTTTAAAACGTCAAAAGTGTTCATTTTACTCCTCCCTGCCGTAATTGAATTGGATAGTAAGTTCCATTCGAATGTTAAATTCAATATTCGACTCGTCCACATAATTAGAATGATCCAAACGATACAACTTCAAAATGCCCGAAGGTATGTGAATTTGAATTAAAGTAGAAGATAATTCGATGAGTTTAAAATTATTCGAATGTTCCGAATTGTTCATACTACTTGAATGATTTGATGCTTTTGAATTATTCAAATTACTCGGAATTTTCGGATGATTCAGACTATGCAAATGTTTCAAATTTTTTGAACTACTAAAAAAATTAAATTATTATCAATAATTTGACTATAGATTTATACAAATCTATAGTCAAAAGTTGCACATTTTGCCGATTATTCAAACTATTCGCACTTTTGGAATTATTCAAATACTTCGAATATATCGAGTGATTCAAGTGATGAAATTTAAAACATCCTAGCCAGTTGAATTGTTTAAACTAATTGAATCACTCGAATTTATCGACTGATTAGAATGGTTCGAACTATATTAAACAAATTGGATAATTAACGTTGTTCATATTACTGGAACAATTTGAATTTTTTCAATAATTCAAACAATTTGAATTATTCGGACTCCTTGAGTTATTCAAATGATTGGAACGCATTTTGCTTTTCGAATTGACTAGTATTCCTCAATTAAATTTGCTCACTATTCGTACAATTCCAGTAGCAAGTCTAGAGAATTCTCAAATTAAAAAGTCAATTTCTTTAAAAAATCTCTAAGCCCTTCGTCCCTTTCGAAAATATTGGCGATTATTTTTTATGCTAATTGATAATGAATTCTGGTCGCAAAATCGGGATGCAAGTACCTCATCGCTCTACTCATTTTCTCATAAGTCATTTTTGTATTTCCATTTCTCGCACCCCAGCGTTTTGCCACTTCATCACCCCTGACGAATTTGAACTTGGCCTTGGAGTAATCCTCCCAACGAATGAGACTCGGGCAGGTTTCTGGGTTTTGCAGGAGGTCTCTGATGTACTCCCACAGTTTGCCTAGATTGTTTGCTATAAATATTTCATTATTTCACATTATTCTTTCGGCTTGAGTGATCGGCACGGAGAGAAAAATCGTGGAAAAATTAGTCTGCTTTTTTTGTGGTAAACAAAGAAAAAGTGAAATTAAATTGAAGATTTTATTAAATCGGAGTCATTAGAATTTTTCAGTGAGTGCATTTCATTCTGATATTAAATTTTTCCGTATGTGCTACCTTGGGAAGCAACTAAAAAGTGCTAGAGATTTTTCTGCTTCGATTGTTAGGTGATAACTTTTCCCAGATCTTCCATATAAAATTCTGCTATTTTTCTCTCATCGAGAAGATTCTAATTTAAGACTTACGTTTCCTTTTCTGTTTCGATCCTTTGGGCCGACCTGGACCCTGTCTTTTTGGTAGTCCATCTAAACTGTCTTCAGACTCAGTAATCTCTGTCACAGAATAATACACGAGTTGATTGATCTAATGTACTTCAGTAATGGAATGATACAACACTTTAATCATCGATTCCATTTGAAGATGTATTGTTTAAAAATATTTGGAAGCCGAAGGAGATGCTAACTTAAGATATATGACCGATTAATGATAAAAATTTCACTCTCTCCCACATTCTTCAATACACATTTAAAAAAATTAGTAGAAAAATCTAGCGTTTTCTTTGAGAAATTTTACTCAATTTCTATTGGAACCCTATCAGAATTCTATCAGAAGCTTCGATTTGTTTTTTGCGCCACCTCTAAAATTATGCAACGTCTCCCGCGTTTTAAATAGATATTTGTTTGTAAAAAAAATGCCTATAGATGTTGATTTCTCTATATAACTTATTCTGTTGGGATTTTTTCTATGAAAATTCTTGGGCGTGATTTTTAAAATTTTTTGTCTTGAATTTTATTATGAGAAACAAATACAAATACAGCAGGAAAACTTTATAAAATTGACGACCAAGTGTTTCTATAGAAAAATCAAAATCTATTTACATTTTTCTATCAAATATCTCTTAACAAGATGACACGGTAAAGTTGCATAATCTCCGGTAGAAATGGCGCCAAAAACAAATAGAATTCTTAGAAAACTTTAAGAGAATTCTTATAGAATTCCAATATAAATTCAATAGAATTTAACATTCGATGACTCGCTCAATGAGCGCGGCGCCGCCCGTTTTCGTTTTTTTATATTTTAGTGTTTCTCGACGCTTAAAAATTCTGAAAAAATTACAGTTTCGAGTTCAATCCTTTTACTAAGCGTTGGCTTTGTCCGTTTTTTCTCGGGAAATTTATTCAGCTATAAAAAGGACAGAAACGTCAAACGGAGAGAAAAGCGGCGTCGCGCTGGCTGCGAGTGAGTCTGTCGACGCCTTCAGCGACAGTGTTCCTATATTGATGATGATGATGATATACTGGCGACAATATGAGAGTGATCTTTCCATCTAACCCCTA